GTTCATAAGCCGAGAACAAATTACTTGTCAGCTGACTATCGACTTTCCCATCGAATCATCAACGAGTGGAATTCACTACCTCAGCACGTGGTTGAGGCTCCATCCGTCGACTCTTTCAAAAGAAAGTTGGATCAACTGAGAGAAAACCATTGCCAGGACTAACATAGGCCATCGAGCCTCCTGTCCTTCCCAAACTGAAACTGAAACTGATTACTAATTGTTTCCATCTCTTGATTAAAGTAGGACACTACAGTATCTTACCATGATTCACCGATTTATCTTTCTTCTTTTATCGTTAATATATTAATGTTCCTCTCTGAAGGTACTGATGATCCATTACTACTAGATACGGAAGCCTGTTAAGCGAAAGCTTCTTTTATTCCGCGCGCTTTTCGAACGGAAAGTTTAGTGCTAACGTGATTTGCAATTATCAAACTTTTGCTGTGTTCTTACGCAACAAAAGTACCATTTCAGTTCTGAAGAATCTATCCTGAGCTATACGTTCGGTAGATTACTTTTTTTTGCGTTTCACCATATTTAATAGTTACCTGTGGTTTTGCCTAAGCTTACTATTCGATTTCTTTTTGTTCTTCACGTATAGACTAGTTACAGTTTATATCACTCGTTTTATCCATTTTTGATCGTTTTCAGAATGCTTTTTAGTGTTTTTTTAAAGGTCGTAGGCTTTTGCAAGCATCTATAAGATAGTTTGCTTCAACATAATCATGAAAAACTCATGCAAACGTCCGGGATGCCGTTTAGCTGTTACAACTGGCATGCAGTGCGACAACTGCACAGGTTGGTTCCACGAAGCATGCACAGATCTGACAGCAGCTGCTTACAACAGACTCAGCAAGTCAGACCAAAAATGGGTATGTGTCACATGCAGCACGGATGCTGCAGTCTTGCTGAGTAACATAATTGTCCTACTGACAGGTCTTCCGAACAAGTTGTCAGTTAACTTGTACAACGATAGTAAAAAAAACCGGTAGACAAACAAGAGCGTGTGACGGATACAAAAATAGGGATGTCGACAGGTATACCATCGATGGAGCATCCTTCAACACTAATGATGACGTGTCGAGGCTCAGCATCATCATTACGTCGACGGTATTAGGCTCCCTAAGCAAACTCGGGTCTCCCAGCTCAGAGTCCCTGAACACAACAGTGGTCCCCAAAAACCCTGTAGTTGATTCGACCCACATTAAGAGAGCCCAAAAGAACCAGGCATCACCGCCTAAGCCGAGCAATCCAAGTGTTGCTGTACGGAAAATAACTGGTGATTTGGTCACACAGTCTACTCCCAAGACTGTTCGTCCGGCCAATAAAGAGCCGAAGCCTCAAAAACGCACACTGACCTCCAAACAACAAGTTATTAAACCTGAACCCATCGTGAAACCTGGTAAATTAACAACATTCCGTGACGATTCTCTCATTATCATGAACCTCGTTGATAATCCTGACTTTCCTCTCAGTCTGCAGGACAAAAACGACAGGATGTTCTGGGGTGAATTGAACAAGAAACTCGAACATCCTAGAATAGAGCCTTCGATGGTCACCCGGCTCTCTAGAGGAAAGGACACTAAGCATCTAAATCACCCAAGGCTTCTCCGAGTAACACTTAAGAATGCTACCGATGTAGAGGACGTCTTATTACCAAGTCACTTGCTGAAATCAGATGGTAACGTAAGAATATTGCCCGACATACCGTACTCTGAGCGCAATATCATACGAAACATCCCTAAAGAATCTCGCGAGAAGTTTTTCTGTGGAAGAAACATAATTGTGCAAGGTATACCGAAAAATGCAGACCCTACTCAATCAAATTCTGGCATCAGGGAATGGAAATTCATCAAACAGTCCTTGAGGCTCAAACACATACTGACTCAGCATGTGACGAGACTAACCAAGAAGGACGGTGATCTTAGACCTCATCTAATGAAGATAACCTTACCATCTTCCCACATGGCGGCTGCAGTTCTGGAAACATTTCGTGCCAACAGACGTCGATTGCCACCTGGAATCCACATGCACCGGATAGGCCATCTGAAGCTTGGACCAAGCACAAAGGCAAGTTGGAGCTGACCATTTCACTTTTGGACTGTCTAAATGATAAAAAAAATGTGTAAATGACAGGGCCTACCACCTCGGCAAACCTCACATGGGTGGGCTACCTGTCCATTCACATAAGGCTAATACAGAAAAACAGGACGAAACTCACGCGTTCCAAATTGAAAGCATAAACTGCTTATATATGAACGCCTCGAGTCTAACAAACAAACTGGATGAATTACGTGAACTTTGCAACGCTAATAAAGCCCACCTGATATGAATATCTGAAACTTGGATATCTTCTCAGTTCTCGGACCAAGAGTTAGCATTACGAGGGATGACTTTGTTCCGCAACGACAGAACAACAGGAATTGGGGGCGGAGTAGCCATATACATAAGCTCTTGCTTGGAGATGCACCAAGTTCACAACCTCGAGTTTAACAATCTTGAGGAATCCATATGATGCTCTGTAAGATTGTCTAGCACTTCAAGGTGTCTAGTCGGTGTCATTTACAGGAAGCCAACTGCTGACATCGAGTACGATAGTCGTATGCTGGAAGGACTATCCCGCTCTACCCGTCTCGGTTTCACACACATCCTGATTCTAGGGGACTTTAATCTCCCTAGAGTCAACTTCGCGGAACACACGTATACTGGAGGCGACAACTCAATTGAAGCTCGGGTCTTCAACCTCATCGATGACTTGGGCTTATATGAAAATGTGAGGTCGGCAACTCGTTGGAGGAACAGTCAGACACCATCGCGGTTAGACTGTGTATTCACAAACGAAGAATTTTTAGTTGAGAACCTCTCAATCCTGGCTCCTCTGGGAAAGAGCGATCATGCCGTCATAGCCTTCAGTTTTGTCACCAAAACTAAGCTAAGGTATCCCAACAATAATTTGCGTTGGAATTTTAAACGGCTGAATGTGCTAGCTCTACATGACTATTTACAGCAGGTGGTTTGGGATGTTCACCCTCAACTCGATGTAAACGGTCATTGAGACTTCTTACTGCACACGCTCTTATGTGCTACAAACCATTCAGTTCCTCAAACGGTTCCCAAAAGCTGTAAGCCACCTACAATAATCAAGAACCGTACCCTTCGCCTGCTTAGCCGTAAAAGGCACTGTTGGGCGGAATACAAACGAACTGACAACGACGGAGCGTATAGGCAATACAAACATATCAGAAACATATACACGAAGGCTATAAGAGAAGGCAGGCTTCATTATCAGACAAATCTTATGGACAAATTTGCTTCTAACCCTAGAAGCCTATTCCGTTATGCAGCCTCCCTTCGTCGAGCCAAAACAGGAGTTTCTCAACTGCTAGGTATTAACAGCCCGACCAACAACGATGGTGATGCCGCTAACCTTCTGGCGGCACATTACTCTCAAACATTTCAGCCGGCTGACATCAACTCTATTGACGACAGTTTCACCTGTAATTCCACAGGGCTTTCCGAAGTGAACCTAAGCACTGACTTGGTGTTCCGTAAACTGCAGCACTTAAGACTAGATACTTCTCCTGGCCCGGATATGGTTCATTCTGCCATATTGAGGGAGGCAGCCTCAATCCTGGCAATGCCACTTAGCGTGATGTTTTCACACTCGCTAAGCCGAGGCAAATTACCGGAAAATTGGAAGTTGGCTCACATCACACCAATTTTCAAAGGTGGTCGACGCAATGAACCTTCAAGTTATCGGCCGGGGGCTCTTCTGTCATTACCGTCAAAACTCACGGAGTCCCTGATATGCGACGGTTTAAACGACTGTCTACTGTCCTCAAATTTCTTCTCACCCCAACAGCATGGTTTCAGGAAGGGTTACTCTTGCATAACCAACCTGCTGACTGCGGTAGACAGATGGACAAGCATCCTCGATCGCAAGGGAAAGGTTGATATCATTTACCTTGATTTCTCGAAAGCTTTTGATAAAGTTAACTACTTGTGCCTTATCAATGAGCTCAAACGACTAAGTATCAAACTACTTCTAATCGATTGGCTTACTGCATACCTAAAAAATCGACACTTCAAGGTTAGGGTTAATTTCACTTTATCTCAGGCGATGGAATGTCCTAGTGGGGTCCCCCAGGGCTCAGTACTAAGGCCTCTTCTCTTCTTGATCTACAAAGTTGAGCAGACGATAACGGACTTACCTTTAACACTTCAAAGTGTAAAGTAGTCTATCTGCGACATGTCGCGAACTACAGTCTTACGCTAACTGTGACAAAAATGCCTTCCGAGCAAACCTTGCACTGGTAACATTGAAGCACATTTTTGGCCAGTTTGACGGAAGAACCTTTCATACAATCTTCAATAGTTTTATCCGTTCCCATTTAGAGTACGGAAACATAGTACTCTCCCCTCACTCCAAAAGGACAAGGTTACTTTGGAGCGTATCCAACGGCGAGCCACGAAATCAGTTCGAGGACTCAAATCTAAGCCTTACGAAGAACGCCTCCATTCACTAGACCCTTACCCATTAGAGTACAGGCGTCTTAGAGGTGATTTATTAATGGCTCATAGTATTCTTAACACTTCTGGACATCCTCTTAAACACCTACTTAAGCTTAGTTCGAATAATAACCTAAGGGGTAACACCCAGAAACTGGAAACTCAACATAGCAAGACGGAAAGTAGACACAACTTCTACTCCTTAAGAGTTGTCAAATGCTGGAATTCGCTGCCGGACGAGCTAGTCCAAGCGACTTCTCAGGAGTCCTTCAAGAGGCAACTTGACCTATTCTTAAGGACTAAGGACAGTATCACACTATGATTTACCAATTTCTTTTCTTCTTTTATTGTTAACATACCTAGGTTCCTGCCTGGATGATTTGGTGATCCCCTGCTACTAGACACGGAAGCCTGTTAAGCGAAAGCTTCTTCTATTCCGTCCACAACCATTTGAACAATTTGAACCATTTGAACAACCATTCGAACCATTTGTATTGTATTACGACGCGCTCTGACTAACACTTGCGCTACCTTCGTGATGAATATTTCTCTCCGTGTGTTTTGGGTAGTTGTACTTCTGTGTGGACCTCTTGCTAGTCGAAAACACGTCCTTAATCTAAAGGTTTCAAATATTTAATGTTTTACACAAATTTTAGAACGATGGTCGTAAGTCAGTCTTATGCAGTCATTTCGGGTTTGCAAAGGATTCATTTCTCTCTGTTTTTATCCAGAAACTGGAAGGTGATTTACAATATGTAAGTTTATTTACCTCATGTAGTTTCCCACCTACGATGACATCGAATTTTCGTGGTTTCATTCTAGTTGTAAATAAAATTTTGCAATCGTCGGAAAAGCAAACTTGGCATATTTATATGTTAAAATTTCACATTCAGTGATAATTTAGACATAATACTTGTATGATCTTGAAGTATACTTTTAATTATGCCACAAACTTGAGATTCTCTACCTTAAGTTTGATCAGTATAGTTTACTGTCATAGACAATATCGTTTATCATACCTTTTGTTCTTTAACACTTCCCACTTTCGTGACCCAACACATGATAAATTCGGCCATTTCATCACTTTTTCTAGGTTTTTGTTGACAGTCGACCAAATTTTACTCATTATCAGCGTTCGTTTTAAACGTTTTCATGCATTGCTTTCAAAAGCTTTTGTTCATGTCGCGAATTTCAACTGTTTAAGTGCAAAATATTAAAGTAAATTCATTCACAGTGATGTAGAGCAGAATAAACACACATAATTCTTTGCTTTTATGAAAAAACCAGGTAATCGTAGTGTCTGGCTACACCCTCTACCCCGACCGTAGCTGCTACCTTGACGTGGTGGTCGGCTTTGCCTATCGTGATGACCCAACCGAGCTATATTGGCTAGAACATATGTTTCTGTAGGTTCTACCATGCCAGGCAGGTCGATTGGAGAACGATAAGACTAAAAGAGCCAACTCAAAGTCTGAGGGCGAAGTCGTAATGCTAACTGTAGAGGGGTGTGACAGTAGTGTGTTTCCCTCGGACGAACAGTATCTGCAGGAAGGGGTTAGAAAATGTCGACCCTTAAAATGTCACACTTCATTTCACCTCATGGATTTTTTTCCGGCGGTAAGGCCCTTTGAAGAACGGAGCTAACACATTAAAAACCCCCCACGAAAAGGCGGTGCGCGACCGGCCTCGAACAGTTGTCCCTTGGGCTCTACGATCAGGCTCCCAGGTCGTTAAGACCAACACTAATCCAACTTCCTTTTCAGGTTCATCAAGAAATACCCTTTCATGGTATTAGCAGTGAGATTAATTGAGGTTTTAGATAGAATCTGGGAAGTGGACGCAATCCCATCTGACTGGTCTCAATTACTGATTGTGGCAGTCTATAAGAAAGGACAAAAGTCCTCTTGTAACAGTCACAGAGGAATCAGTTTGACTAATGTAGTGTCTAAAATATTAGCTTCAATAATAGTTCGACGCCTAACTAAAGCTCGTGAAGAGCAGACCTTATACAGGCTCTCTACTCAAATTCGACTGGTCGAGTGAGAGTTGATTACCTCAAGTGGTGTTCGTCAGGGCTGTTCACTCTCTCCATTCTTGTTTAACTTTGTCGTTGACGTACTTTTAGAGATAACACTTTCCTAATCCAAATTTCCAGGGGTTGAACTTCTACCGGGAGATTCACTTGTTGACTTGGAATATGCCGATGACACAGTTCTATTTGGTGAAGACGCTGACAAAATGCAGTCTTCTGACCACTCCAAGCAACAATGCAAGCATGTTCGGGATGCGATTCTCCTCCTTAAAGTATGAGATTAAAATCGCTTCATATCTTTCTTTCTACGAACCAATTCTTTCTTCTTGTACTATATCTCTATATGCAATCTTTCTCTTATATATTACCACCTTTTACCTAACCACTGTTATGATTCCGGTGTTCATCTTGTTGTGTTGATGCGGTATGGCAACCTGGACCGATGCACACATGTGCCTGGTCCTACGTTGTAGCTGACTGACTGACTGACTGATTCTCCTCAAAATGCAAAATGTTGCTTCAGGATTGGGTTGCATCGACACCCGATCTAATGATAGGGAGTGAAGTAGTTGAACGTGTCGACCGCCTCACTTATCTTGGAAGTCTCATCAGCCCTCGTGGTCTGGTGTTTGACGAAATCTCAGCACGGATACAGAAGGCTCGACTAACTTTTGCCAATTTGCATCATTTATGGCGTAGGCGAGATACCCTTCTATCAATCGAAGGACGGTTTGCTGCACAGCAGTTCGTTCCGTCCTATTTTATGGCAGTGAGCCATGGCCGGTAAGAGTAGAGGATATTCGTAGGTTACTAGTATTTGATCATAGGTGTCTTCAAAAACATTACTTGTATATCCTGGGACTATCGAGTAAGTAATGTAGTTGTTAGGAAACGAGTACTAGGTAAGGATGGCAACCAATTGATGAAATAGTGAGACTTCATCAGTTGAGATGGCTGGGACACGTGTTACGTTATTGACAAGTGGACTGAGTCATGTTGGTAAGTGTGGACTAGCTGGTTGGGATCCGCGCGATGATAGCAACCGATGGTTGGAGACCTGACTGACATGGCTCAAAACCGTTTGCGATGGTGCAGGTGCATCCACTTTTTATGTTCTCACAAATTTTAATATCCCTAATCCTCCTTGTCTCTTTCCAAATTGATTACACTGGATTATACTTTTTAAATAACATCTTCAAATCCTAATCTTTTCGATTACTGCTTACACTCTTACAGCCTCTACCACTACGAGATTTGAATCGACAACTGCATCTCTGTGTTTATGTGGTGTGGCAACTCGAACTGATGTAAGCACGTACGAAGTTCTGCGTTGTTACTGAATGACTGACTGACTCACATCCCTTATAATCGTATCTGAGATAATTTACTCTGTATTTCTTACCTTATGCTCCACGACTTCCAAGCATACATAGATAGAGTAATTACAATAAATGACTTGCACACTCAATGTTAAGGGTAAGTCAACTCGAGAAGCGATCGTGCCGTGTTTATCAGTGTTTTGCACATTCTAAACAAATGTTAGAAAATGTCAGTGGTTTTAGTATCTACTCAGCTCACAGACACTCCAAAACACATTCCGGTTTGCTTTAAGCACAAAAGTGAACGAAAGCAACGCAAACATAGGCTACTACATTCTACACCGTGGTCATGGTTAGTAGTTGATAACGTAAGTAAAACAGTAAGGACGATGGGTAAAACTATATAGTTGTTTGGATAAGTCCATCCTGGAAGTTTAGAAACTTAGCAAAGTTCATCTTAAAAAAGCTTATCTAATCCCTAACACGATGGTTAAAACAATGATCAGAGCGCCTCAAGTATCACTTCATGTAGATTCCGTCTTTCCGATTTCTCACTTTTCATTAACTTCTTGACTGAGATTAATATAAGAACCTGGATTTTATGTGGAATGAAAATACCAGTAACTAGCCTAAAGCAGGTCAATTCATGTTTCATGTTCTTGAGATTGACTTAAGATAATGCAACTAATAATTAGTATTCGTAATTTTAGGGGACTGATTTTGCATTTGACTTCGAGTGATGAACTTATGTATCTGAATCATCATCGTATGTATACACCATTTGATTAGATATGTGTAATTCAAAAGAATAGCTTACATTACCTTCAGTCGTAAATACACATATCAGATCCTATCATTCATTATATTTGTTTTCCTATCACTTTATTCATATGGATCTTATATAGGTAATATACTGGCTTTTGTCGAAGTGTGCTCATGAAAAACAGCATTTTCAGAGAAGCCAACGCTTTAAGTTCAACAGATATTTATTTAGGTTGATCAACTGCTTCTAATGGGTGATAACATTCGAATTTATAGATTAGTGAACTGAGCTTAATGTCATTTATGCTTCATAATAAAGCGTTCAGTTACCACAAAGAAGCAGGGCTTTACTTGTCCGGTGTTTGAATAAAACAAGGTGTTAGAAGTCATAGGCATGGGAACTAAAAACATACCACAAACTGTCTGGTTTGATGCTTGGCTACGGTTCATGCTTGTGGATTCAATTTAGATTCGATGAATAACCGGCTCGCTTAGTCTTCGATTGTAATCCGTTTCTTGATTAAGAACTCTTATTTCCTCTTCTTTTTAACTTTTGAACCCTCTTGATTATCACTTATTATGATTTGTATTCCATTCCTGTCATCTAGTTTTGCAACCTCAAGTGGTGTCCGTCAAGGATGTCCACTTTCCCCATTTTTGTTTAACTTCATCATAGATCTACTGATGGAAATAACTTTCTCGTCGACTGAGTTCTCGGGTATTGATCTCCTTCCAGGAGGTCCACTTATCGACTTAGAATACGCAGATGACATAGTCCTGTTTGGTGAAGACGCTGACAAAATGCAGAGTCTTCTAGTAGCACTGAGCAACAATACCAGGATGTTTGGAATGCGCTTCTCTCCCTCTAAATGCAAGTTGTTGCTTCAGGACTGGTCTGCGTTAACACCTGAACTAAGGATAGGGAGTGAAGTAGTCGAACGCGTTGACAACTTCACTTATCTTGGAAGTCTGATCAGCCCTAATGGGTTGGTATCGGACGAAATCTCAGCACGGATTCGAAAAGCTCGTTTGGCTTTTGCCAACTTACGTCACCTGTGGCGAAGGCGAGATATCCGTCTATCAATAAAAGGACGAGTATACTGCGCGGCAGTCCGTTCTGTTTTAATTTACGGCAGCGAAACATGGCCATTAAGAGTAGAAGACACTCGTAAGCTATTAGTATTTGACCACAGATGTCTTAGAAATATTGCTGGCGTCTGCTGGGATAACCGGGTAAGTAATAGTGAGGTTAGACGCAGGGTATTAGGAAAGGATGGTAAATCAGTTGATGAGGTTATGAATCTTCATCGACTGAGATGGTTGGGCCACGTGTTACGTATGCCTGAACACCGATTACCACGACGTGCAATGCTATCCAGTATTGGAAATGGTTGGAAGAAAGTTAGGGGCGGCCAAACCAAAACGTGGCATCAGTGCTTGAAGTCACTAACCTCTAATCTGAGCCATGTTGGTAGATGCAGACTACTTGGTTGGGGTCCGCGTGACTATCGTAACCAATGGTTGGAGACTCTTGGTGACGTGGCTCAGAATCGATCACAATGGCGTAGGTGTATACACTCTCTGTCTTCCCTTAAACTATGAGATTAAAATCGCTTCATATCTTTCTTTCTACGAACCAATTCTTTCTTCTTGTACTATATCTCTATATGCAGTCTTTCTCTTATATATTACCACCTTTTACCTAACCACTGTTATGAATCTGGTGTTCATCTTGTTGTGTTGATGCGGTATGGCAACCTGGACCGATGCACACATGTGCCTGGTCCTACGTTGTAGCTGACTGACTATTATGATTTGTATTCCATTCCTACTGAACCCATTACTTAAGCATATGATTGAACTTCGGTCTTGTCTTCCATATAATCTAAGTACATCATGCATTTAACGATAGTACCATAGCCTGTTAGCAACTGATCAAGCATTTTTGATTGATTTGGAATGGTTTAATATACATGTTTTCCCATTATTTTGTTTGAATTTCTCGAGGCAACAGGGCTTTTAACATTTCTTTGATAAGTACGTCAAAATATTTATTAAAATAAAAATAATGAATTCGATTTTGTGTCTTATGACATGTAATCTACTTTACTTTACAGATAACTTTTACTCTGGATAAGGCTGGGGATTCTGGAGTAACGTCACTTATTGTACGTCGAACTTCATTAATCTACTTACTCATCTTCTATAGGAATCCAAGTCAAATTCTTGTTTTTGGGATAAGTCATTTAAATTTATTTATCTCTCATTTGACAAATCATCCAAGTTAGCGGTTTGATGGTAATATTCTGACCTTTTTGCTTAAATAGATCACTGGTGATACACAATTATGATCCAAATTATAAAGGTGTAATTTTTGAAGCCTCTTCTTTAGAAATGGAAGAGGATGGTCAACCTGATATCAAACCCATAGGTTTGATTGACAATATTCAATACGCTCTTAGCTGTTTGCGGTTGGTTACTGACCGAAGCCTCTCGTTGGCTAAAGCAATAAATGCCGTAAGTTTCTTATAGAATTGCATTATATATATATATATATATATATATATATATATATATATATATATATATATATATATATATATATATATATATATATATATATATATATATAATTCTAACTTAAATTAACCCAACAAACTGAACATCTACCTCAACATTTGCTTATCTAACTGAAGAGATTGAATTTGTCAAAGAAAGATGATAAACAAAATATCCTACACTTTGATCGCTCACATTACTACTTATCAAACATCGTAAACCCGAATCCCTGTACAGAATATGTCATAATGTCTGTTAGATGTCGATTTGAAAATCTGCTAGATAAAAGTTATTTACGCATCCACTATTTCGTCATTCATTGACTAGTTACCTATTTTAAACATTGTTAATCGTAAACTTTTTTCCAAGTGTAATGAATGTATTATACGCTTATTTCTTATTCTTTGTTTAATTCTTTCAGATAATATTATCTGAACCGAAACTTATAGAAAAAGTCAAATTTATGAATGTACTGGAACTTCATCGACAACAGTATCTTGTCTATCAACTTCTACGTGAAGTTGCTGAATACTCACAAAATACTAAGGATGAAGAGCAACAATTCTCAGCTCGTAAAGCTAAAAATCACATTGAGCCAAGTGATGATTCACAGTTGCAAAAAGTTTTCGAAATCATCTTATCTCAAATTACTCCTTTTGGTAAGTTTATTTGTCTGTACGAAAATGGTTTGTTGCTTTTCACGTAAAAGCTTCTGAGCAATACCCTGTCAGGACAAACTATTCTCAGTGCTCCCTATCTGTAAAACTTGACTCTCAAAGGTAGAAGACATTCATAGGTTACTACTTCTATGAATTTGGTATTCATTTTGTTGTGCCAATGAGGTGTGTTAACTTGGTCCGATGTATATATGTGCCTAGTCCTACGTTGTAGCTGACTGAGTATTTGAGTATAATTCCATTCGAAATTGGTTGTGTTATTTGGGATCACCGAATGAGCAATGTTGAGATTAGATTCAGGGTACTAGACAAATAAAATAAATTAGTTGACAATATTTTAAATCTTTGACTAAAGTGATTGAAACTCACATCATATGTGGACAGCCACCACTTACCTCGACGCGCATTGTTTGGTGACTTAAATATCGATTGGAAGAAAAGTAGGCTCTGCCAAACGAAGTGTGACATTAGTTCATGAAGTCATTTGCCGTTAGTCCAAAACATGTTGGGTTGCACTGGCATAGTAACGTAAAATTATGTTGGGGATGTTAGATTCCCAGAACTCACTTAGTAAATGCCTTAATTTTATAATATTATTTTGGAAATTTAAATTTCCTCGTTTTCGCACCAAAAGCGCACTTTTCACCTCCATATCGTATTTCCCACTTGGGAGAATCTTTAACGCTATCGGTCCGTTGTGCATTTTTAGTATGCTATTTTTGCTACGCTTCCCAAGGACAGTTTTATGCTGTGTATATACGTTTGATTTGTGTCTGTTATTATTCACTTGTGATTCTGGCTTACGGAATATACTTTCCCGTTCCAAGCTTGGACTTCTTCCTCTAGTTAGCGGGGCTGGGACGCATCAGATAGCTAGCTTATTGGTTTGCGGTCACAAGTCTTTGTTCCGTTCGCATACTAAGTGAACTGGTAATAGCTTCAAACCTAGCAAATTTGGCGACATTGGTTTCGAAAACATGGTTCCTTATAAGCTTGAATTATTACTCTAGCAGCAGTTGAAACTAATGCAAATGTTGACAGACACCAAGATTTCGCCTCTCACACAGCCTAGCACATCTAATGCAACCACAGCACCTTCAGTAGACGGCATCGCAAATATCATTGCTGAGTTTCATTATGATCCTGATGCCAACGTTACTTTTGACATGTGGTTCCTTCATTATGAAGACCTATTTAAATTTGATTTTGCTAACCAAGATGATGCTTGGAAGGTTCGGCTATTACTTCTGAAGTTGGGTCTCAGTGAACTAGACAGATATTGCAACCTAATTCCGCCTCTAAGCCCACGCGATCACTCGTTCTCGGACACTGTCCAGTCATTGAGCCAACAATTCGGAGACGACTCACTATTCAATACGCGCTATCGATGTTTTAAGCTCACTATGAACGGAAATGCTGGTTTTCTCACACATGTGGGTATCGTCAACCGAGAATGTGAACGCTTCCAGTTGAAGTCGCTTACTGAAGACCAATTTAAAGCCCTCATTCTTATCTGCAGCCTTCAATCTCAGAAGTTCAGTGGCATTAGAACACGCTTGCTAAGTCGATTGGACCAAGACCCAAAACTAAGTCTTAATGATATTGCAAACGAATATCAACATCTAATCAATCTGCAGCGTGACACTACGATGGTACAGCGTGGTGGTTCAGATCATACCGAAGTTCATGTAGTCCAACAACCACCCAACCCGCATAAATCTGCCCCAGCGACATCTAGTTCAGGTCAACAGACAAAAACAAATCCTCCTGCCCCATGTTGGCACTGCGGTGCGTGGCATTTTGTTCGAGGCTGTCCATATAAACAACATAAGTGCAGGAAATATAAAGCTGTGGGTCATAAATATGGTTTTCGTCAAAAAAAGGAGCCGGATAGCTCCAGAGCTACCAGAAAACCTGTCCCTAGATCTGGCACAAATTCGTTGAATCTAGTAGCAACCTGTCAGAACTCAACTCCAGGTGAGAGGAAATTTATTACACTTAATATTAATGGGCATCCGTTTAGATTGCAAATAGACACTGAATCTGACGTAACGATTCTCTCACGAAAATATTGGACCGGAATGGGAAAATCTCGCACGGTGCCAACGACACAAAAACCTCGTACTGCGTGCGGTAATTATCTACGTTTGTTGGGACTAGATTATAAAGTTTCTTTTCACGACTCGACGTTTAACGGGGTATGTTACATCACTAGCTGATCTTAATCTACTTGGTTTAGACTGGTTTGACCGGCTACATTTAAATGACGTTCCGTTAAGCACCGTATGCAATCTGGTGAAACAACCTCATGAACATGAAGCATATTTGAAAGAACTAATGACGGATTTTTCAACCATTTTCCAGCCTGTATCGGGTAGGTGCACTGCTATGAAAGCAACATTTCGGTTAAAACCTTGGGCTAAACTTGTCTTCTGTCCAAAGAGACCAGTGCTGTACGCATCATTATCGAAAGTTGACAAAGAACTAAATAGCCTTCAACTACAGGGAGTTATTACACCTGTTTCTTATTCTGCCCGGGAAACACCCATTGTAGTTAAGAAGGCTGATGACACAATCCGAATATGCGCAGATTTTTCCACAGGTCTTAACGCAGCTCTCGAACAGCATCATTACCCACTGCCAGTCCCGGCAGCTTTGTTCACGATGTTAAATGGTGGGAAGTTCTTTGCGAAGCTGGATGTCGCTGATGCCTACCTACAAGTGGAAGTGGTTGAAGATTCGAAAGAGTTACCATAAATACTCATCGTGACTTGTTTCATTACAATCATTTGGTGTCAAAACAACTCCATCTATTTTTCAGCAACTAATGAATACCATTCTATCGGGTCTCCCGGGTGTCGCAACTTATCTCGCAGTCAGTCAGCTACAACGTAGGACCAGGCACATATGTGCATCGGTCCAGGTTGCCATACCGCATCAACACAACAAGATGAACACCAGATTCATAACAGTGGTTAGGTAAAAGGTGGTAATATATAAGAGAAAGATTGCATATAGAGATATAGTACAAGCAGAAAGAATTGATTCGTAGAAAAAAGGATATGAAGCGATTTTAATCTCATAGTTTAAGGGAAGACAGGGAGTGTATACACCTACGCCATTGTGATCGATTCTGAGCCACGTCACCAAGAGTCTCCAACCATTGGTTACGATAGTCACGCGGACCCCAACCAAGTAGTCTGCATCTACCAACATGACTCAGACTAGAGGTTAGTGACTTCAAGCACTGATGCCACGTTTTGGTTTGGCCGCCCCTAACTTTCTTCCAACCATTTCCAATACTGGATAGCATTGCACGTCGTGGTAATCGGTGTTCAGGCATACGTAACACGTGGCCCAACCATCTCAGTCGATGAAGATTCATAACCTCATCAACTGATTTACCATCCTTTCCTAATACCCTGCGTCTAACCTCACTATTACTTACCCGGTTATCCCAGCAGACGCCAGCAATATTTCTAAGACATCTGTGGTCAAATACTAATAGCTTACGAGTGTCTTCTACTCTTAATGGCCATGTTTCGCTGCCGTAAATTAAAACAGAACGGACTGCCGCGCAGTATACTCGTCCTTTTATTGATAGACGGATATCTCGCCTTCGCCACAGGTGACGTAAGTTGGCAAAAGCCAAACGAGCTTTTCGAATCCGTGCTGAGATTTCGTCCGATACCAACCCATTAGGGCTGATCAGACTTCCAAGATAAGTGAAGTTGTCAACGCGTTCGACTACTTCACTCCCTATTCTTAGTTCAGGTGTTAACGCAGACCAGTCCTGAAGCAACAATTTGCATTTAGAGGGAGAGAAGCGCATTCCAAACATCCTGGTATTGTTGCTCAGTGCTACTAGAAGACTCTGCATTTTGTCAGCGTCTTCACCAAACAGGACTATGTCATCTGCGTATTCTAAGTCGATAAGTGGACCTCCTGGAAGGAGATCAATACCCGAGAACTCAGTCGACGAGAAAGTTATTTCCATCAGTAGATCTATGATGAAGTTAAACAAAAATGGGGAAAGTGGACATCCTTGACGGACACCACTTGAGGTTGCAAAACTAGATGACAGTTCGCCATAAGCTCTCACTCGACTAGTAGTGTTCGAGTAAAGAGCCTTTACAAGGTTTATGTACTTCTGGGGTACGCCTTTCAATGACAGACACTGCCACAGAATCTCGCGGTCTACCGAGTCAAATGCTGCTTTTAAGTCAAGAAAGACCACCATCGTCGGACGCCGATAAGTATGCCTGTGTTCTAGAACCTGACGAATGGTGAATATGTGGTCGATGCAGCCACGACCAAGTCTGAAGCCAGCTTGATTTTCTCGTGTTTGCAGTTCACGAGTTTTAGTTAGGCGTCTGATTATTATTGAGGCTAGTATTTTAGATATTATATTAGTTAAACTAATCCCTCTGTGGTTGTCACAGGATGATTTTGACCCTTTCTTATATATTGGGACGATAAATGATTGTGACCAGTCAGATGGAATAACGTCTAACTCCCAGATCTTAGCTAAAATATTAGTCAACCTAACCGCTAAAACTGGACCACCATCCTTAAAGACTTCTGGAGCCAGTCCATCTGGACCAGCAGCCCTTCCTCGTTTCAGATTATCTATAGCCTTTTGAACTTCAGCAAGAGTTGGGGGACCTACTTCAATCTCGATGAAATCTTAATTGTTGCCACATCTCTAGAACAGCTTCAAGAACGCACGACAGCTGTGCTACAATGCGTCAGCCATAACGGATTCCGATTACGCCCGGAAAAATGCCAGCTTTTCTTGAAGTCAGTAAAATACTTGGGATTCATCTGTGATGCCGCAGGTCGCAGACCAGATCATGAAAACATCCGAGCTATAAAACTGATGCCGACTCCCACTAATATATCCGAGCTACGATCATTCCTGGGATTAGTCGCCTGCTATTCAGCGTTTGTTCCGTCGATGCATGGCATACGCCCCGCTAAATCATATTCTGGATAGGAATACCAGCTGGAACTGGACAAAAGAATGTGAAGCTTCATTTTTCAAGCTAAAAACAATCATAAGCTCTGAACTATTACTGGCACATTACGATCCGTCCATGCCTATCATTGTCGCTGCAGACGCTTCAGCTTTTGGATTCGGTGCTGTCATCTCACACCAGTTCCCGGACACAACAGAAAAAGCTATTATGCATGCATCTCGCACATTAACTTCAGCGGAAAGAAAGTACAGTCAAATTGAGAAAAAGGCTCTCGCATTGTGTTTGCAGTACGTCCTTTCCACAAATTCTTGTACGGTCGAAGTTTTACTCTTCTCACTGATCACAAGCCTCTTCTCACAATTTTCGGTTCGAAATCTGGTGTTCCAGCCCATTCTGCAAACCGTCTCCAGCAATGGGCTTTGATACTTTTGGGTTATGACTTTGACATTCAGTACCGGTGCACCCAACAGTTTGGTCAGGTTGACGCCTTGTCACGACTTATCAGCGAACACCATACGGCCGACGAAGATGCAGTTATTGCCTCCCTAATGACATAGGACTATGCGCTATGTTACCTGACAACCGCTATTCGTGCTTTGCTAGTCTCAGCAGCTGGAATGCAATCTATATCCAAGAACGACTCCATCATAAAGAGAGCGGTAAAATACGTCACCAATGGCTGGCCGTCAACTGGACCCAATGGTGACTTGAAGCAGCTTTACCACCGTCGGGACTCATTATGCGTCGTGAATGAGTGCTTGATGCTTGGTAATAGAGTAGTAGTACCAGAGTCCCTAAGATCAAGGGTGCTAAAGCAGTTCCGCACTGGTCATCTTGGTATAAAACGAATGAAATCCATCGCCAGAAGCTATGTGTTAGGATGTGCAGAAAAATATACCAATAGTTATCATGTTAAGTCTAATGTTGTCCTTGGACGCTAAATGTACATTCCCTATTGGTCGATATTTGCTTCACTTGTTTAATATTGTGTAAATGTTGTTTTCTATTTTTATGGTACGATGTGGTCTGCTTGGTTAGTATATAAACAGAGTGTGTTTGAAATATAATGATTCATATCTCAGAGGCTGTGGATTGCGTTCTGAACTCAACTGGCTGGGCAAGACAGCGAAGCAGGGCCAATCGGGACTCTAGGTCGTTCATTACGTGTTTACTTGTCACTGTGATCGATCGATAAGTACGCTGCGCATCCAAACCTGCAGTCTCACCCATTACAACACTATGCTTATTGCTCCCTCATGGACCAACACATCATGGATTTAGTAGGCGAATGCACGCAATGTCAGCAAGCGGCGAAATGTAATGTGACGCCGGTCCATGGCCAAGGCCTGAGTATCCCTGGTCCAGGATACATGTCTATTTTGCTGGTCCAATCAATCAGACTACCTATCTAGTTGTGGTTGACGCCTTTTCGAAATGGACAGAAATTGTCCCCATTATGCCACCGACGAATACCAAAAGGATACAGCTCTTGTCGGAGATGTTCGCTCGCAACGGTTTACCGGATGTAATTGTTTCAGATAACGATTCTCAGTTCACCTCAACACAGTTCCAAGATTTCTGCCGACGGTTATCCGTCAAGCATCTCCGCTCTCCAACCTACCGCCCGCAACAAAACTGCCAAGCAGAAAGATTTGTGGATACATTTAAGAGAGCTCTAATCAAGTTGAAAGGGGGGGACGCCAGTGGAAACACTGCAAAACTTCTTATTCGTTTACAGAACGACACCTAGTGATGTATTACCCGAGTTCTTTAAATAACATCTCCAAACCCTAATCTTCCCGATCACTGCTTACACTCTTGCTACCTCTACCACTACGGGATTTGGATCGACAACTGCATCTCTGTGTTAAGGTGGTGTGGCAACTCGAACTGATGTACGTACGTACGAAGTTCTACGTTATTACTGACTGACTGATTACCCGAGCAGAAGTCCCCAGCAGAAATCCTGATGGAAAGAAAATTGAGGACGGTCCACAATCTGACGCTTCCGAAAACCACACTATTGCCATCACCGATTAAGTTACAGAAGCTGCCAACATACGAGTTTGGGTGTCCGGTGTTCGCTCGGGACTACAGACCAAACCATGGTCCCTGGAGGTCACATTGCGGAGGTCTGCTATTTTGTAATTGTTATAACCTTGAATCGCTTTTACCCCGTTGATACTTGTTATGACTCGACCTTGATCTTTCTAGTCTAAATTATGACCTTGACGTGATAGGGTGAGCGGCTTAACCTTGAGTCTATCACGCGTGAGTTCGAGATGGGGTAGAGAGATAACTATTCTAGAACCTGATTGGTTGGCAAGCACGCAAGTGAGAGAAGACAAGACAGTTGGAACACTTAGCTCTGGATTCTCTGAATTCGGATTAGTACAAAAATGTACATGAATAAATAAGTCAATATCTTGACCACGACGTACAATAATTTGGAAAAATACAGTTATGCCGGAAACTGGCAATTAGGGTAGAAAATACGGTGCAAAATATTATGTTTAAATTACAATATTTTCGGAACAAAAAAGGGTATGGTAGTGAATGATACACAGAACGAAAGCTCATGTTATGTAGAACAAGATAGGGACAAAAATAAATATAAGTGTTTTACAGGGTTTGAATGAAATGAATTAACGTCCCAAGAAAATGGCTTTCGTAGTTGTCTGGACTTCTTAATTCCCGTTCACAACAGTAATCCTCTCTTTTGCTATTAATATCGCAATATTTTATTCAAAAATCATTTTTTCATTATTTTCAGGAGTTAGAATTTTGAATGAAACTACTGTAGTTGCTATTCGGTCGCTTTCGTAACTATTGTTTCAAGAGCGAGAGAAAGAAAGAGTTTAGACTAAGAAAAGACTTCATACTTTCCAAACGAATCAAAAAATTTAATAGTTTAAACATTTGTTTTCAGTTATCAGGTTATCATGTTAATAATGATCAAATATTATTCTATATGTTTATTAAATTCTTTATTCCGATTGCAATCTATGACTATACCCACTGGATTATTTCATATACTGCACCACATTTCTGTAGACTATAATTTATCTAACCTTACTTTTCTTGGCATATGTGTTTTAGTTGGGTTGTTTGATCCAAAAATGTACGAGAAGAAATTACCAACACAGCATTAATAATTGGGCTAGTCTTGCAAAATTGTAACGAATATGTGATAGATCATTTGTTTTAATGAGATTGCGAGAAGTAATACTGTCCTCATTCTATTTCTTTAAAAGGTTCATTACAGCGGATTCCGTACGAAATGAAAGACAATGTAATAAGTGCTAATGTGAGTGATCTTTTTTTAGAAAAATATAATTTTTTGTTATCCTATTCTAGCTGACAAGTGTTTGGGAACTCCTTGTGTATTTGAGTGGTTTTATTCATTTATCAAAGTCAAATATTTAAATGGACATTTCATCGATGCCTAAAAATCTTAACTCATAAGAATTAATCATAATTCTCAGTATAGGGTTTTAGATATTGTTAAGTTTTAATTGAGATCATGAACCGATCAATGTTAGACCACCATTGAAAACGTGGAAGCACTGGATGGCTGATTCGCCCTAGTCTTGGACTCCCCAGCAGTGCGCATCCATGATCCTGCATGCAGGATTCGAATCCAGAACCTTTGATCTCTCAAACCTCAACAATATCCATAACCATATACTAATAATTATCATGTGCTCACTAGTGACTAGTTTCGAGAAGTAATTATCGGAGTTCTGGTGAGAAGCCATGACCAGTGGAGTTCAAACGTATCAGTTGTGAGGCAGTTACCCACCGAAGACAATGGAAGATGGCTGCGCAATATCGTGGATTAATTGAAATTAGACACTAGCACTGTTGGATGTTGTCTCTTAGGTCTAGAGGTAAAGCGCTAACGCGCGAAACCGAAGGCCCTGGGTTTGAATCCCGCGAGCGGGATCGTGGATGTGCACTGGCGTGGAGTTCCAGATTAGGACGAAACGGCCATCCTGTGCTTCCACGTTTTCAATGGTGGTATAACACTGATCAGTTCATGATCTCAATTAATCATAATTTACTGCTTTACTACTCACTCCACTGCTAGGACTGTGAAGTAGTGTATATGTAATCTTCATATTAATTAATATGATTCAAAGCATATGTTTATTTAATAAGTATCAGTTTTTAATATGACAAAAAATTGTTTTATTTTCTTGAGCATTTAGTTTCAGAATATTCTTCTTCTTCTTCCTCCTCCTCCTCCTCTTCTTTTTCTTCTTCTCCTAATTATTATTCTACTATAAGCAGTGGAAGTATTCAGAACTCATGAATATCATATATACTTGAACTATTATGTTAACGATTTTAACATTTTAATCTATTCAATCAACTTCAAATGTTATCATTTTTATATTAGCTTATTGAGCCGAGATACTCCAAGAAAATTGAGAGTATCTGATATGAATTTCTTAAGTTCATATTATAATCATCGTAATATTTTTGAATGTATTCACCTTGTAATATATGTTCTCAGCAGTAACTTTTTTTTCATTGTTCAGTTTACAGTTCGTTTCTTGAATACATCTGAAGAAGGCTTATATCATCTGTACTTTCATAATTGTGCTGAATTAAATGTAGAATCTGGTAAACGTCATTCAGTTAACTTAACAGTAAGTTTTGACTTTGTTGAAGATAATGATGTGATCTATGCATTAAGCAGAGACTTGTGCACTAGGGCTAGTGAAATACCGTTTATGTGAGAGACAGTGTTATTAATCGACTGCTTAAACTGACGTAGGTGTGACGGGGCTCAAACTTCAGTCAGTCAGATACAACGTAGGACCAGGCATATATATGTATCGGTCCAGGTTGCCATACCTCATTAGCACAGCAAGATGAACACCGGATTCATAGGAGTGGTTAGGTCAAAGGTGGTAATATATAGGAGAAAGATTGCAATAAGGATATAGTACAGGAAGGAAGAATTAGTTCGTAGAAAGAAAGATATGAAGCGATTTTATTCTCTTAGTTTAAGGGAAGACAGAGAGTGTATACACCGAGGCCATTGTGATCGATTCTGAGCCATGTCACCAAGAGTCTCCAATCATTGGTTACGATAGTCACGCGGACTCCAACCAAGTAGTCTGCATGTACCAACATGGCTCAGACTAGAGGTTAGTGACTTCAAGCACTGATGCCACGTTTTGGTTTGGCCGCCCCTAACTTTCTTCCAACCATCACCAACACCGGTTAGCATTGCATGTCGTGGTAATCGGTGTTCAGGCATACGTAACACGTGGCCCAACCATCTCAGTCGATGAAGATTCACAACCTCATTATTTGATTTACCATCATTCCTTAATACCCTGCGTCGGACCTCACTACTACTTACCAGGTAATCCCAGAAGATGCTAGCAATATTTCTAAGACATCTGTGATCAAATACTAGTAGCTTACGAGTATCTTCTACTCTTAATGATCACGTTTCGTAGCCGCAAAGTAGAATAGAACGAATTACTGCACAATACACTGGTCCTTTAATTGATAGACGGCTATCTCGCCTTCACCATAGGTGACGTAATTTGGCAAAAGCCAAACGAGCTTTTCGAATCCGTGCTGAGATTTCGTCAGACGCCAATCCATTAGGGCTGATCAGACTTCCAAGATAAGTGGAGTTGTCAGCGCGTTCGACTACTTCACTCCCTATCCTCAGTTCAGGTGTTGATGCAGACCAGTCCTGAAGCAACAACTTGCATTTAGAGGGGAAGAAGCGCATTCCAAACATTTTGGCATTGTTGCTCAGTGCTACCAGAAGACTCTGCATTTTGTCAGCATCTTCACCAAACAGGACTATGTTATCTGCGTATTCTAAGTCGATAAGTGGACCTCCTGGAAGGAGATCAATACCCGAGAATCCAGTCGACGAGAATGTTATTTCCATCAGTAGGTCTTTGATGAAGTTAAACAAAAATAGAGAGAGTGGACAGCCTTGACGGACACCGCTTGAAGCTGCAAAAGTAGATGACAGTTCCCCATAAGCTCTCACTCGACTAGTAGTGTTCGAGTAAAGAGTCTTTACAAGCTTTATGTACTTCTGAGGTACTCCTTTCAATGACAGACACTGCCACAGAATCTCGCGGTCTACCGAGTCAAATGTTGCTTTTAAGTCAAGAAAGACCACCATTATCGGACGCCTGTGTTCTAGAACCTGACTCAATCGTGCAGTCTGTTAGTTGGAAGTCAAATGCTTCAATCACTGTGATCTTTTTTCTAATTTGCTGTGTATAATGTAAAAAGCTCTTTTAATAGAGTTTTTTAAATAATTTTTGATCATTTTAAATGCAATTCTACTCATTAACGTTCCTTGATTATGCACTTAAGTGGTATTTGAAAAGTCAAATTCTCTAGATTCTCATTGATTGTGATTACATGTTCCGTTCGGTGGTAGTTGAGACTTGGTGCGCAATGTGTCTTCACTGTTTGTTAAGCGATAAGATGTACATTTCTTATGCCGCAGGTAGCATAAAGTGATAAATCCAAATAAGGGTTTCATTTCTGTGCATGTGTTCTCATGAAAGAAATATGACTCACAAAATAGGTGTAATGGTGAATACATTTAATAAACTCATTCATTATTTTCAAGCTAAACATGCAACCTGATTGACTTTGAAGTAACACTTTACACTTGGAAGATGGAGAATCCGTTCGAAACATCAAAATCACTATCATTCTATGTCGGTTAATACCATATGAATTGCATTTTATGAAGTGTAAAACCAGCAGATTTCATCTTTTAAATAACGAAATATCAGGTTAGTTTGTGTCATTTACTTGAACTAATTACAACGAAACTGTTTAATGCTTACTCTGTAAGTATTTAAACTAATTTTCAGGAAGAATATGTACATTCACTTATGTAACTGGTTCGCAAATGTGAATGATATGACTCTCATGAAAAGGGATGTTTTCCCCGTTTCTAAAATTGACTTTGTTTGCATAAGTTTAGTAACAATATGTTTTATTTTCATAACTTAGTTTCTGTTTTGTATCTCTTTATAGTTAAAAATGGTTGAGAAGAATGTAAACAGTTATTTATCTGCTGGTCAACAACCATTGCCTATGCTTTATGCAATTTCTTGTTTGGCTTATTTGTCCCTTAGTATTTTCTGGTTTGTTTACCTTCGCAAATCAAAGTAAGCACTGGTTTCCTATTTTCTGCAATAAAATCTGCTTACAAAAATAATATTGAAATTGATCTTAAGCAGCTATTTTTTGAATTAACAAACTTTAACTAACTGACCTATTATTACATGGGATTTTGTCACACCACCAAGAATTAGATGCAGTTTTTCTTAGATTAGTCAACAAAATCAATTTAATGTTTTGTACACAAACTCTTCCGGATTAATTTTAAAATTTATGTACACAAAAAGTGGCTGTAGGGTCACTTATTTCTGTCCATTATTCTGTTGTACAGTATTTGTTAATATCTATGTTATTAAATGGTAAGATCTGAATTCCATAAAGTATGATTTTGTAAGTAATCCTTATCCTGTCATGAATCAAGGAATGTTTATTCATAGTTCCGGTTAATGCATATTGAAAACTTTCACAGTTTTAAGCTTGTCTTATTTCCTATCATTACAATATATTTTCTAATGTGATCGACTGACAGAAATGAATAGTTAGTTTTTTTGTTGCTTTCATTGTAGCTCATCATTTTCATTACTAATTAATCTTAGCATCTTGATCCGATGTTTTATTTTCAACATAAACAATAGGTTTATTTCCTTAATCGAGATCTTTTATCATTGATTTCGTTCTCTAAAGTTCATTCAATTTTAATCCAATAATCGTTTTCATCAATGAATTATCAATCTAGCTATTTATTATCTCATAATTCCATGAATTTCCTCAGTTAATAATTGTTTTATCATGATATTTACATATATATCTATCGTAGAGTAAATAATCTAAGTATCTTGATTTATCCAAAAATAATTCAATCCAATAAAATGATTTCATGGGATTTTTTCCCTTTTCATTAATACCTACTTCTGTCTACTTGTTATTTAATTTATTTTTTGTTTGTTTAGAAATTCGGTTTATCGAATTCATTATCTCATGTTAGCAGTTACTATTGTCAAATCAATTTCACTTGGCTTTCATAGTGTAAGTTATAAAACAAACAAGTATGTATTCATAATCCATTTTGTTTTTTAAATTTTTTTTTAATTTAGAATAAACTTACTTTCCTTTCAAGGGACAATTTAACATGTTTATTGTACAGTTGTTTTTTTATGTTTTAAATAGAGATATTGTTTGTTGACATTTGAACAAGAAATTCTTTTGATCATTAACCTTCATTTTAGATGTGGTTCATAGCATAGTTATGATAAAAATAATTCTGTTGATGTGAAGAAGCAAGTCCAGTCAATGAAAGTCGAACGCCTCAGCCAATAGCCACAGATCATTAAGTATGACTCCGACAACACATGTAAAATCCTCTTTCTTTTCTTACTTATGAGTGATTTATGAATTTATTCAATGAATATGAAAAATTCCATTTCTTAATTTTCTTCCAATATATTCTGTACGTTCTATACACTAGAAAATAAATTTAAGCTACAGTATGTCTAAAAGACATTTTACCAAATGTCATATCATTAGTTTATAGAATGGAACTCATTAAATCCATAATGCTTACATAATCATAATCGCTTAACATAAGATCATTAGCATTAGTTTTTTATCAATAACAATCTGTTTTATCACTGTTTACCACTTTTTAGAAAATGATTATTTGTTTTATTTGTAACTGATAATGAAATGTTGTTATTATTATTGTTTCTTTTATTTAATTTTAGGTAAATTATTATGTGATTGGGAAACATGGTGCTCATGAAGAAAGTTGGGCTGTCATGTATTATATTACTCATATGTATGTGTGTTTATTTTTGTGTATTTATTTGTATTACCAGTGTAAAACTTTTTCAATTTCTTTCCCCTTAAAACAACAAAATGTTGTCTTCCACACTATAGAAGTTATTCCAAGCAGTTATTGGTAACTTCACTGATCTCATATTAGTCAGTCATCTAAGTTGATTGATCCTATCTTGTCTGTTGTGACTAATTGGTTTGCCGGTATTTATGCAGCAATTCTGACTTACAAGGCATTAAGCAAAACTTTTCTGAGTAGTGAGCATTTTGTTGGTTAGGATTAATTACCTATCGAATTTACAGTTAATTAATATATTAGAGAATATTTTGAATTTTCTAATTCAATAAAACAATGTCACTCAACAATGTTTAATTCTTTACTATAAATTACAGTGTGAATAGTAGGAAGTTATTCTGCATTTTTATAATAAATGTGTTTTAAATTGATCGTTGTTATAGTCCGGGTTAGTCTGTAAGAATCATATGATAATCCCGTAATGCAAAGACCATTGCCCTCAACGCATACCATACGCTGGAAAAAAACACTAGTTAACGTATGACATATTAATCTTATTCTTATCATCAGTAGTATTAGTACTCCAACAACTAGAATTATTTTTAGAAAGTAGTTGTCCGCTTACTTTCATTTTTATTCAGTAGTTAGCCAAAACTTTAGCTATAGTCATTTAATTGCCTGCACCATCAACATATTGTACCTTTTTAGGAAAAAAACTAAGAACAGATTTCATTGGTGAAATATTACCACTTGATTCTTCACTTGCAAACACATTTTTCTTGATGTTTTGTATAATTTCACCAAAAAAATAAGTTACTACTTAGATTGTATATTTTCTTATATTGAGTAAGAAAAAGGCCATAGCATGAGTATTCATGTTTGAGTGACAGAATCCTGATTGCATTCATTGAATTTCACTAACCAATTTGAGTAACATGGAATCAGCAATGATTTTTAAGGTAGAGTGAATTTGTTTTGTTTACCCGACTTCTTATCAACTGATCATGATAGATCTAACTTTAAAAAATGGTAAAAATCGAGAAAAGAGTATCAATTAGATTTAATACAATTGTGGATCGATCCCGGTTATAGCAATTCAAATCAACAGAACAAAAGGCAGATTGAAACAACGCGTATATTTAAAAAAATAGTAATAAAATAAATGATTTCAACGGTACAGAAGTAAAAGTATCAAAGAAAATCAGTAAATAAATGCTAAGCTTTATACTGAAATAATTTGTTCAAGATATAGAGGGATACAGAAAATGTTGAACCTGGGACACGTGTCACACTTTACATCAGGAGAGGAAGTTATCTAGATGAGTAACGAAAAAATGTAAGAAAAGAAAGAGAGGCGAACGTTTTTGGTCAATAAAATGTATGGGATAACAGTGTAAGAATGAATACATATACTCTCATCGGACAAGTTTTGAAGAAAATATCACGTAAGTATTCCACGCATCAGTTCAAATGACCTCACAAACAACAACTAAAACTCCTGTACCTTTCTACGTGATTAGAATTAGTGGTTACTTACTTCATGAGCCAATATCGTACACTGATGTGTCATAAAGTTGAATGAATAAAGCATTAGTTGCTCTGAAGAGAGATTACACCCTTCTTGAACCCCATCCGACGTAGTTATTACACACTGTATATAGGCAAGCAGAATTGTAAAATTATATTTTAAATCATTAGTAATTAGTGTGGAATACAGACAGAGAAGATAAGTTTGGAAAAGCTGTGGATACTAATTATTGGGTTGTATATTCCTTAAAAAGCAATCAAATATCATACAATTTAAATCGATTTAACTGAGATCTATTCATATAACGACATTGAGTCATCTTGAATTATTGGTTGATATTATGTGATTATATATGTTCACATGGCCTTATCCGTTTTTAACGTATTTTAACTAATACTGAGTGGGTTGGAGATTGCTGGTCTGTGGTCTATGCTCCACTGGGAGTCACAGAAGTAAGTAAGTAACTAATACTTTATAATTTTCTTTTTCGCTGATCCTTAGGTTATGGTAGTTATCGGTTATTGTTTTTTTTTAATTTTAGTATTCGAGGTGCACTTCTGTTTATCACTATATTACTGATTGGTGCTGGTTGGGCCTTTATCAAACATATGTTAACACCGCGTGAACGTAATGTGTTCCTGATTGTAGTACCTCTTCAAGTGAGTTTGTTGGTGCGAAATTGTTTTCAAGAGGAACAATTTTTTTACACATGTATGTTGTATGAAATTCATCTCCGAATTTCCATTAATAACACATTACGCTTAGTTCTCTTGTGTGAACGTAATAGTGCATCGATTCGCGTTCTTACACCCCGAGGTAATATATCACCATGACAATGTGCAACACAAAGTTTATCAAGTAACTGTTATATTGCGCTAATTAATTTTAATTAAAACCCCTACCTCATCGTTTCGAACACAAACCTGCAAGCATCTTTTTGTGTGAGAGCATTTTCCCATCTTTCAAGACTTTAGGAATTAATTGACCGCATCACCTCCAATAGTGAGTGTGGCCTATAACTTGATAAATAAATCTGTTTGTGACTGCCTCTCTGTATTAGCTAGCATTAGTTGTTATTAGTCATTTCATTATTATTTGAAACACTTACAATTAATATGTGAAAAATATATTTGAAATATTCTCAGCGATTGAAATTTAACTAATTCCAACATTTCGTCCAGCTAACTTGTCTGGACTTCTTCAGGGTAATAATCAAAATTATCAAAGAAATATATAGCTTTTAACAATCAGGATTATACTGTGTTAAACCGACAATATATGGATGTTGATTTTTTGTAAAATAGGATAAAATAAAATTCATGTGAAGAAATCATCTACATGGAAATAATTAACTGAGTAACAAATCGTATGTGTGTGAGTGTGTAGTTATGTATGTATGTGTGAGACATTGATATGAAGGAATAAATAAAATTCAAGTTCAAGGATGAAAATTTGATAATGAAACATCGATGTACATGTCAAAACGTAAATTGTATTGTTTAAAAACTCATTGAATTCTTTCAAAAATAATAACGATGCAAGTGATATTAAAAAACAGGTTTAAACAAGAGATAGGTTCCAAATTTTTTACTTGTCAAACAAAATTTGCCAGGTAGTTGCCAGTTGAATACCATCTTTTCTGTTCAGGCTGTTCTTGTTCGCCCATATATGCAGCGTTTCTGCTGTCAATCTTTCTTTATGAGTGTTAAAACCTTTCTGAAGTATTTTGGTCCCTTCAAAATTAATCTTGTGTCCTGTTTCTAACGCATGTAACGCTATCGCTGATTTATTTTCAAGTTTCTTTAGATCAATCGAGGATTTTGGAACATTTTTCAAGCATTGTTTGTGTTCCTTCAATCTTACATTCAATTACCTGGATGTTTCTCCAACATAGGTAGCATTACAGTCATGACAGTGAATCTCATATACAATGTTCTGTTGTTCTTCCTTTGCTAACTTGTCCTTAACTTTCACTAATGTCGATCTTAATGTGTTATTCACTCTAAAATACACTCTTATATCATGTTTGTTTAGAATCCGTTTGATTTCTTCTGATGTTTCACTACGGTAAGGCATGACTACGGTGTACTTCCATTCTTTTCGTGTACTTTCTAGTTTAGTTTTTCTTTCATTTTTAATAACCTTCTTTAAAAACCTTTTTGGGTAGTTGTTATCCCTAAGAGTAGAAAATACTTTATTTAATTCGGTTCGTTGGTCTTCCTTGTCTGTAATAATCTTAGTACTTCTGTTCATTAGATTTTTTACCACATTAATTTTCGTGCTCTGTGAATGGGCTGAATTAAAATCCAAGTATCTCTCGGAATGTGTTGATTTTCTGTAAACATTTATTTTTAACTTCTTATTATTGTGTCGACGTTCAACCAAACAATCTGGAAATGTTAGTTTGTGGTCAACTGATTCTAGTTCCTTAGTTAGTTTAATGTTTTCAGAAATGCTGTTTACATTGTTAAATAGTTCTTCCAGACCATCCTGTTTATTGACAATAAAAATATCGTCTACATACCTTAACCATAACTTTGGTGAACATAAACTTTTTGCGATTGCACTAGTTTCTAGGGAATGCATGAATAAATTCGCTACAATCGGAGAAACTGGTGAGCCCATTGCTATACCCTCTTTCTGTCTGTAAAGTTGACCTCGAAATATGAATAAGGTAGATCTTAAACATAATTCTAAACATTTTATAACCTCTGATGGATCTAATGGGCATCGTAAATTCAAATCTAAATCAGATTCTAAACAATCATTGATAATATCTATAGCTCGACTGATAGGTACATTAGTGAATAAGAAAGATACATCAAAACTTGCCATTATTTCGTCTTCTTCTATATCGATGGTATCAATTAAATTCTTGAATTCCATAGAGTTTTTAGTTCCATGATTAATCCGTTTTTCATGTGGTTTGAGAATCTTAGCTAAATATTTAGCTAGATTGTAAGTCGGTGAATTTGTATAGTCTACCACTGGTCTAAGTGGAGTATTATTCTTGCGGATCTTTGGTAGTCCATAAAATCAGCATGGATTACAACTCTTTGGATATAACATAAACCATAAGGATGATCCTAGCTTAGCTTTTAATGACTGTAAGAGTTTGCTAGTTTCCGCCTTGAGTTTATTAAGAGTCGTTCTACTTTTTGTTTCTTTGATTTGTTCATATGGACCCTCTTGTAGATGTTCCTTGGCTTTCTTCTCATACTCTGTTTTATCCATAATAACTGTAGTATTACCTTTATCTGCTCTCGTTATTATGATCGTTTTGTCCTCTCTCAGCTGTTTTAATGCGTAATATTCATTTTTATTTATGTTAGGGTTGTGAGGTTTCTGATGTAATAATGTGTTCATTATTTTATTCCTCAGTTCAGTCGCTGTATCATTCAGGAGTATATTCAGCGCTGGTTCTATTGTTGGTATAACATTGAAAGGTGTTAATTTATGTCTATTTATATTGAAGTTGAGACCCTTTTTAAGTAATGATACTTCATGTGTGTTGAGAGGTCTATCCGATAAATTAACAATTATTTTATTCATATCATGTGTGTTAGACCTATTTTCGGTCTGTTGAACTTTGGTGTTTGATGAATGTTTCAATAGTTTTTCAAACTTCCTAATTTGTCGTTGTTTTGATGATTGATAATAAAATTGTTCTCTGCGTTTGAAAAATCCAATTATATCTGATCTTATTTCGTTTGGTGCGATAACTGACAATATGTCACCGATATTACAAACCCTTGAACGTAGTGCCTCCGAATTCATAGTGGCCTTGTGTATACGTTCTCTAATAAATGCTCTAGTAGCTGATATCGCCGCTTTGATTGACCGAATAGAATTGTCCGGAGATTTGACCATCAGAGATTTTTTGGAAAAACATTTTGTTTTAAGCATCGTATATTAAAAAATCTGTGATTGTGCCAGTTATGTATTTTCTTTGATAATTTAATTCGATTGGAAAATAATTTATACGAATATTCGTCAAGATTAGAACGAATAGTTTGACAGTAATTGAGCGCCGAGTATAGAGAAGTCATTAAATGTGAAAACTACATTTGAAATATTCTCAGCGATTGAAATTTAACTAATTCCAACATTTCGTCCAGCTAACTTGTCTGGACTTCTTCAGGGTAATAATCAAAGTTATCAAAGAAATATATAGCTTTTAACAATCAGGATTATACTGTGTTAAACCGATTTTTTGTAAAATAGGATAAAATTGTAGTTAACTGACTCATTTTATCCTATTTTACAAAAAATCAACATCCATATATTGTCGGTTTAACACAGTATAATCCTGATTGTTAAAAGCTATATATTTCTTTGATAATTTTGATTATTACCCTGAAGAAGTCCAGACAAGTTAGCTGGACGAAATGTTGGAATTAGTTAAATTTCAATCGCTGAGAATATTTCAAATATATTTTTCACCTGTAATGATTTCTCTATCCTCGGCCCTGAATTACTGTTAAACTATTCGTTCTAATCTTGACAAATCTTTCTATAACTTATAGTTAATATCGAAGAAAATTTGTTTTTGTTTCTGAACATTTCTTGCTGAACATTTCTTATTGTGTAGAATATCTGTATACATATGTGTGTTTTATTGTGGTGTTTTTACTAATAATGAGGAAATCATTGGATACATCAATTTAACTTTATTGAAAATTAAGTCAACTATTGGAAATCAGAGATATTGCGCAACTATTTTTTAATGCAATTAGTGTGTAGTTGGATCATATACGACACATTTGGACATTACTAATCGCGATTTTTTATTAGAACTCCAAATTAGTTACTAGTGTGTACATGATTATTATTAGTGCGAGGAGCCTTTAGGGATTGCTGAATTTTGTAGTTTAGATCATGAAGTGACCTTACTTTAATAACCATTGAAAAACAGAATATACCGAACAGTCGTTTCGTCCTAGTTTGGGGCTCCTAAACATTCATTCTTAAACGTTCATTTTTAACCTCACCAAGGATGGTCGCAAAGTTTGAAATGCAAACTGTAGTGTCAGTTACTATGTTAAGCTCATTTAACTTATTCTAGCTTTTGGACAGGCTAATTCATCCATTATTCTTGAGTCACGTTTTGACCTTGTTAATTATTCACTTACCAACCCTGACTTTTTACATGAGCATGTGCGTGTACATGTCTTTTCAATGTTTTAACCTTTTAAGAGTTTCTTATTTAAATCTACATACTCCTTCATTATCTTCATTTTTTTGCATAGGTTTTAGCCAATATTGCTACTATAATTATTGAAGAGTCTGAAGCTGGTGCAGCTCGTTATGCTACATGGAAAGAAATTTTCATTTTTGTCGATTTAGCATGTTGTGGAGCAATTTTATTCCCTGTTGTCTGGTCTATTAAACTTTTGAAAGCAGCTTCTCAAACAGATGGTAAAGCAGCTATAAATCTGCGTAATCTACGGTTATTCCGTCATTTCTACATTCTGGTAAATTCGAATGTCTTTTCACTTCCATGAGATGTTTAACTTACAAATTTCATATACTTATTAAGATTCTAAATATTTTTTTATTATTGTATAATGAAACTATATTTATAAATGTTAGTTTGATTTAAATTATTATGATTGTTGAGAATTCATACGTAGCATTAAATTTAATCGAATCCTCAACTAATCATCCATTTCTATAACATGGAATTTGAAAATACATTCGTCACTTAAAATTTTGGTCATTTCTAAAATTATTAGTTATTTTTATATCATATTCATCTTTTATGATAGTGTACAGTAGGATAGTATACCTAGACTAATTATCGTAGAATACTGTATGTACTTGAGCTATGATGGATACCGAGTGGTTGGCTTAAAATTAAAAATACTCGATTCCTAGTCATTGAGTTGGATTCTCGAAGTTCACCCTATCTACTTGATTTTATGCCATGGTTAATCAATAATTAACTTTCACACGTAGAAGCTCAAACAAAAACTGTATTTGATCATTTAAGCTATGAAACTTTCTGTGCATTGCGTAATAGAATCGACAGTGTTGGACATTGATCTAATTATTACACGTCTTAATCTGTTATTGTTCCACACATGGTTCTATGCACACATGTGAATTAAACATTATGGTTTTACAAATTTTTGAAAAGCTTTAGCTTTGTCTACTCTTAGTACATATGTTCTTTATTCTCGGCTTAGAGATTAGCTTGTTATAAAGATGTAGTAGTGATCACTGTTACAATTCTGCGATCTAAATACCACTGTCTTATATGAGTTTTATGTTAGTATCTATGTTTATATGATTCGTATGCTTTGTTTTTATTTGCTTATGGTTCGCCCTCAACTACCAATGGTAAGATTCATTAGTGTATATTTCTTTGTCTTGGAATTTTTAGTGGATATTTTGCAAAATTGGTTCATTTAATTTGGTCAACATCAAGTAGTAGAAACATGGTATTGATTACGATCTGGTGATATATTAACATAAATAGTCATCCACATTAAACTAAGAGTCTCAATTTAACGAGTATTTATTTGTCGAAGTACAACACCCTTTAACATAAAGGAAAGTAGTTTACACTCTATTAACAGTTTATTAACCCATGTGTAAGACGATTTATTACCTGGGGAATGAATTCTAAGTAATAAAATTGTGTGGAATTACACTTTACAGTTCTGAAAAGGTTGATAATACAAACACTGAACTCTTGAGTAGTATTGTTTTTTAATTCAACTGTTATGCATACGATTGAGTAGTATCTTTAATATCCTACTGTTTCTCATTTCACAGGTCATTTGTTACGTGTATTTTACACGTGTCATTGTCTACCTGATGACAATCACTGTAGTCTATTCGTATTCATGGCTTGTCGAATTATTCAAGGAAACGGTGACTTTCATTTTCTTTATTTCAGTTGGTTATGAGTTTCGTCCAGTTAATGATAATCCTTATTTGCTCGTTTCTGATGAAGATGACGATGAAGATACTGTGATGGAACGTATGCAAATGGAAGATATGTAAGTAGTATTATTTTGGTTTGTGTACACAATCTTATGACTTAACTTTTTCATCTCCAATTCCATTCTTTCTCTTCCAGAATTACGTTTCTCTCGTTTAAAGTTCTATTTTAGTTCAAATTCATTTCTTCTCTTTTGCTCCCTATCTTGTTAATTTCTCCTTTCTTTAAGAATGAATATTATTCTTTTTAAATAAGTTGTTGGTCATCGTAACGTAATAGCTTGGTATTTAAGTCCAAGGATTAATTAAGCGGTTCTAAGTGTATCCAATTGACGTGTTCATAATAATTATCATAAAAAATGTCCATCCTGTTTTTTAACTTCTAGCTACTACTACTACTACTCTTAACACTTTCGCTTCTTAAATAATAATAATAATAATAGATTTTCCTCCCTTTCAAACCATGTGTAAATAAAAGGTTGATATTCCTTTTGTATACAGAATAAATTGTAATGTCATTTAATTAAATATAATAATTATTGCTTATAGTATTGACCATTTTATAATCACATGTTTTTTATCCAATAATAATTCATTGAAAATAAATTAAAATATCCTTAATTCATCAACAAGGTTTGTAGTGGTAAAGAAATTCCCAGAATAAATAGTTTCGTAAGCCTTCAACATTTGATTTTGGCTCCATTGGTTTTAATTGACACATCGAGCTGAAGGCACTCTGTCACGCATCTTCACCAGATCACGAGTGGGTACGCCGTGCTGCACATCTTCTACAACTGTTAGCCAGGTTAGACGCTTTACGAAATGTCGATAGCCTTTCAAATATAACTTCGAAACTCTTCACTTCTGATTTGACTGGGTTGACATACTTCGTTTATAAAGATGTTACTGGTAAAGTCGTTGGCAGACACCGAATACTAGCAGCATTTTTAGTGATGAACCCGACGTAATCTGGTACACCAATTCGTAAACTATGAGTCTATTCCTCTTTGGAACAGGCTTTAGTTAAATTATAGAAATGGTTAAGAAGGAAAGACGTAATGTTTAATCTGCTAATGAACACAATAGGAAAACAAAATGTTAATATTTTTTTCCCACACTTTTTTAGATGGATGATAGGATTTGGTTACATAAAATGCGGTAGATGTATTTATTGAATGGATTATATTTACATTTATTTACTTTCTCTTTATTATTCACACGCTGGTTTCAAATATTATTCTTATTCTTACGTAACAATAACTTGAATATGTAAATATGAATAATTTCAAAATGAAACGTTTTATCAGTGCTGAACTCTTATGTTTTTCAAATAATTATTCGATGATAATCAGTAAAACGTCAGATTCTTTAATATACATTTACAAGATCTGATCAGACATTCTATAAGGTCTACACCTTAGTTGACATATTACATCACTAAAAAAAGTCTTATTTATCCAGAATAAATTTCAAAAAGTCAAACTTATGGGTACGAAGATGACTTTTCAGTATAGGGTTGTGGAGATTATTAAGTTTTTGATTGAGATCATGAACCGATTGATGTTAGACCACCATTGAAAACGTGGAAGCATTGGACGACCGTTTCGTTCTATTGCGAGACTCCTCGGTAGTGCGCACCCACGATTTTGCTCGCGGTGTTTGAACCCAGGGCCTCCGGTTTCGCAAGCGAACGCTTAACCTACTTAACCACTGAGCTAGCGTCCAACGGTGTTAATGTCTAACCTCAACCACTCCACGAAATTGCTCGACCATCTTCCATTGTACTGAGATAGATACTTGCTTCTACCCGACACGAAATAACTCCACCGGGTTAAGCGTTCGCGCGCGAGACCGAAAGCCCTGGGTTCGAATCCCGCGAGCGGGATTTATTTAAACGTATAAATATCAGTACAATGAGGCACCAAATATATATACGCCACGCATCTTTACTCGGTTTGTGTAAGGACTGAAATACTGTCCGGGTATAATATCTGATATATCCTAATTATGCCATTAAATTTCACAGATATAGAGTTCTTAACTAATACTCATTATTTCGGTTTCTTGTTTACTTGGAAATATTAACCTCTACGTTCTTATATTTAGATGATTGTCGATCAGACTTGAGTAAAAATAAATAGTTTTACAAATAAGAATAAAATGTACTTAACTTGTTATCTGTTACTTGTTTTGTTTAAAATGATTAGTTCTATAATAGGTTGTGCATGTAATCCTATAAATGTGTTTCATTATTTTCCCTTTTACTTCCATAGATGGTCTCAGTCTGGTTTAACAGATGGAGTGACACGAGTACAAAGATCCCAGTCCAAGCGTAAATCAAATATTCCAATGAAAACTTATCCAAAAAGTCAAGATAAAGAATCTTTACTACAAGGAGTAGAAAATGCATAGTTCTATTCTAAATATATGCTTCTCAATCCTTTCCCATCTACTATTATCAATCTACACTGAAAAACAGATAAAAAATAAAACGATTTTATGTGTATACACGTTTGTGTTGTGCTATTACTACTACTTCTTTTGCTACCAACTATGTGATTTTCTTTGGTTATCTTATTTCTGTTTTGCAGTTTTATAAACATGTATAGTAAATATCCAAGTGTAGATGCGTATGTATGAGAAATTCATCCCTATTTCCTCTCCCGCCCCAAAAAAACATTTCTGGCACTTTTCTGATCTTATATCCACTCATGTTGTTTTCCTAACAGACATTTTGTACACACTGATTCTTCTTTTATGGTTATTGTTTTTTTTCTTCATACAATTATGTTCGTGTGTACGAGGCCTTCTCTCTCTCTCTTCTGTTCTCTCATATAAATAACGTTTATCACTTCCAAACAAATCTTTGAGAAAAATAAACTCATCTATCTTGTCATTTTTTAAATAAAGTATACTCAATGCATGTAAACTAATCATTATATTGAGTGGATTTAAATAATTCTCCACAATAAAAACGACAGACAACGGTAAATTTTGATAGAAGATGAAGATTATCAGACCTATGTCATATACTTGCGCAATACATAGTTTTTAAGTACATTTGTGATCAGATTGTCCGAAATGTATTGCGCAAAGATATTACATAATTCTAATAACCTTCGTCTTCTCATCGTACTATCCAAATTTATCAAAGGAACTAATTGTTTTAGACAACAGTAAATTGTTTACATCAAAATGATTAGTTTTATTCTGTTTTACTCCCGGATTTTGTATTTTGATTGTTACTATCACTAAATCCTGTAATAAGATAACTTACAGTGCAGATTTTTATTTGTTCGTTTCTTATTTTAAACTTCTAATTCATTTTCTTGTTTGCATCAAAAAATAAAATTAACTGTAGTTTTCTCACTTCCACTATCATATTAAAAATAATAGCTGAAATAAGATTTTGTTTGTATAATGCTCTGTTGTATTTTATTTATTTAAACACATAAACATAGGTACATGAAGGAACCAAATAGATATGTGCCACACAAATCATTCGATTTGTGTGAGAGCTGGAATACTGACTGGGTACCCGAACCGAAGCGGATAGTTTTCTTAGGGGACTACACCCCGAGCCTTTGACATAAATGTCTAATCCACAAGGCAGTGCAGCAACGTAAAGAGATGCAGTCTCATGGTAACCGGTGACCAACAAGAGGTTCGTACACCATTTATTCCTTTAGAATACTGGAGTCCCTGTGCACCATTGGTTTGGAATCAGGGTTTTCCAACTCCCCTAGGTGGATCTTCCGTACCCATCAACCCGGTTAAAGCACCGGACATTCGCTTTTCTTCCTCTGAATTTCATAAACACCCCTGCTGCGAAAAGCAGTGAGTAGGAGTTCCTTGGTAGTGGTTGTATACGCGTGGCCGTGTGAGAGCATTTCGAGACGTAAAGCGGACTCTCCCTACCCTCTGCTGTACCAGGGCATTTGGGGACTACGTATCTGGGTGGCATTCAAACCCACGTCCACATCGTGGACCAGAACACTTGAGTCTAACGCTTCAGACCGCTCGGTTACTCAGACGTTGTAATTAATTGATCGCTGGACAGTGACCAGTGTTTTCTTTGTTTAGTCCGTTTGTACTGATTAAGTTACGATATGGTTACTGGTCTAAGTAACTGAACAAGAATAAGTGCATTAATATTTGATAGGGGTGAATAAAAAAAAGAATTCGGCTTCGCTTATGGCTTTATTTCTTTGTTCATTATTAGAAGTGCTCTTAATCCTTTTTTAGGTTTACACAATCGTTTAGTCTTGCATAGCACATATTCAATTGACAATGATTTATTGGGAATTTGTAAATAGCTCATTTTAAAAGTGAATAGTAAAAACCAATGGTTTTGACAAAAAATGAAACATTCACTAGTATATTGTTTATGTAAAACTGACGGACTCAAGTAATTTTCTTACAATAAGTGTATGAGATTATGTAACAAGTGACGATTGATATTTAAAGCTGGAATTTACTGCTCAATTGATCAGAGATAGGCAAAAATAACACCTGTATGAAAATTCAAAACCCTCTTCAGAACTGCTGAAACAAAATACTCTGATGCACCTTATCATACTGAAATTATTTTGGCTATACTTTCGAAACTTACTGAAAAGAGTTCGAAATTTCAGTGAAAAGTTGTGGTATTCCTTGAAATCAAAAACATTCTATGCGCGATTTTCATTAATAATATAAAAACAACCTAATGGATTTCTCTTTTTAAATTTCCTGCTAATATTATCGTTATACTAAATTAACTCAATAGGGAATGGTAGAGTGTGTTTACAGAAATCAAAGCGTTCTTTACCTAACCAATTCAGAGAATTTAACTACGCTCATTTACCAACACTAGACACAGAAAATATCTCTTCACAGTCTGATCAGGAATATAGTCAACAGATTTTGATGCTCCAAAATAAATTCTCATGGCGTTTCGAACATCTCAAAGAGTTCACGTCTTACAACAATTTTCCAACCGCTTCACTGGGACAGTTAATTGTGATCTCCACGTGTAACTAACACATCGCGAAGTCGACAACAGAATAAACAAACTCATTACTGGTATAACATTGGTAGAGTTCAGACTTTCCACAAATATCTACCTTTCTCGATCAACCTGCAGTCACTAACATGTTGTCATGTACAAAATTCAACAGTTGTAGAAATTTCATATATTAGCGAGAAATGTTTATGCATTACGACAAGTGAAATGATGGAACACTATATTTGCACATATCTTACTGGTGTATTAACAGTGATCATCCTGATGATTTTCTGAGTAACCATTAGTTTCATTGTACGCATCATTACCAGGGTTTAACTTGATAATTCCGATAAAATTGAGCATTGTGTAAATTGTTAAAAATAAATTCATACATTTGTAATATCTGAATGAATATGAAAATTAAATTTTCTGACGTTTCATGACTCAATGTTATCCACTTCTTCTGAGAATCAATAACCAAATGGTTATTTATACACTGAGTCTTACTGATGTAGTAACAGAGATCATCCCGATGATTTTCTGAGTAAACATTATTTTCCTTTGACAGGTGATATATATTATAGTATCCTATATAAGATTTAGACGTCTTGCATATGTTAGAGTGCTACACAATTTGGTTTATGTGATTCTTTGATAAAATAATTGACTCATTGGTTACCTAGCATCATTTAGAGTTATCAATAAAACTGAAGAAAATAATTTTTGAATTAAAATTAAATCATCAAATTTATTATTTATGTTTTAACATTTTGAAAAAGGAAGAACAATTTCAAACTAGAAAAGAACAGTAACATTAAATAAATGACAAAAAAACACTAAACTGTTAAAATTTTACAATATGTATATCTCATCTTATTACAATAAACACTGAAAAATAAAAGTTCTTTCATAAAGAAGCAATGGTTAACATGTATATTTATGCTCAATATGTATATATATTCATCAATCCAATAAACTCCTAAATATTTGAAGAAATATATATTTAAAAGCAGCCTAACACATATAGGTTATAATATGAATATGCAAACATCCCCCCATCTAATAAATGTACTTTTTTTATTGACTAACTTGAGGGGCAGGTATACCGAAACACTCAGTAATAGTTAGCAAAACATAGTCTGTAATAATAATAATTATTATTCTTATAAAATTAGAGAATATATTTAGAATAAAGTTTAATTCAAAAAATCGCTATTTTTTTCTTTAAAAAGTTGGTAATTAAGTAAATTATGTTGTATTTTTTGCTTTTGTTTTTTAAGAAAAAGAAAAAAAAAGGAGTTTTTAACATCATAATATTATGGTAATGGTATAAACCTCTTTTTAGAATAGATGTAAAATAATCTTGAATTTGTTGAAATGTTTTACTTGAATTAATATAGAAACAAAAATTTAACATTGAATTGTTCAATAAAATTTGATTTGATTTTTGTATATATATATATATATATATATATATATATATATATATATATATATATATATATATATATATATAATTCAGCATTTAAAGCGATAATATTTGTTTTAATTCATGTAACTATTATTGATTTTAATTATTCTAGATCTTTGAACCATTTTAAATTATGATAAATAAACTAAACAACATTTATCCCAACATGAAAATAAAATACAATTTGGTAACTAACAGTTTTGTTTTTGTTTTACTTTATTTTTTTCAAAAATAAAATAACGTGGTTATTTTAAATTTAAAAATTTAATTCTGATATATTTAATGTTGACAATATATGTTTGTTTTGTTTTAATAAACAAAAGAAAGAGTAAGGATTATTATGTGAAATATTTAGAGAAAACAGAAGAAAAACAAACATTAAAAGCATAATTAATTTAAATAAAATAATGTTGACAATGGTTGTGTTCTCATACATACAACACATTTACTAACTGAATCTTGACTATTACGTACTTTAATGACAGTACCCATGACCATACCAAACATATGTTCATCCATAGAACTAGGCATAACACGTAACCAGAAATTTTTATGTTCTTCAAAAAATCCACATAAACCTTTTGCAGTACATTCAATAAACATATGAGATCGAAATTGTGGTAAACAACTACCTGGAGATGCTAATTGTTGTCCTCCACCTTGTGCTCCATAACCAGTATTCTAAAATAAATTAAAAAAAAATTGTTTATAGTAAATGTATTTTTATTTAGTATACAGTGTATATTCAGGAATATTTTATGAAAAGTACTATTTAATTGATATATAAATTGATTGAAGATAGTTGATTTTACACTTTAGACAATTATAGTACTAACTGAATTGTTTGGATCTCAAATTATCATTTGAACGATTGAAGTTTTCTGATCACTTAATACTTATTGGAATAATATAACCATATCTTTAATTTTTCAAGTTATAATACGAAGTGGGGAAACATGTGAAAGTTAACAGGTGAAACCCTGAAAATCCTTTTCATGACAATTAAAAATTCTGAGGAAAATTCCTAATCTTTCCCTTTGATTCATTCAATGTAACAGTTAACAATTAAATAGATATCTTAAGTAATTTTCTCCTTATTACAAACATGTCAAAACAATTACTACAATGACCGAAGCAACTGGTAAGTTTCTCACAAAACAGATCCTACTAGTCAAGTAGAATTGATTTCAGTAACTGGAACCATTAGGCAGCTGACTGAATATCAATTAAGAAACTGGGGATATTATCGAGATTTTAGCTATGATTGACAGGCTTGAGAGAACAAGTGAATAGAAAAGGTTTAATGAAGATCATAAGGAAATCAGTGAGTTTGAGATAATGGAGAAGATTTGTAGCTCAGGTGAATGATTTAGGTGGTGTTTTGTTCTTTGAGCTGGATGGTTTGATCGTGGCGCTTTCATCGTTCTTCTGAACGACAGCATCAGTACAAACTTTAGGTAGAAGTGA